TGACCAGATCTGTCAGTACTATGTACTTATGACTGTGACAAGGACTGTTTTTGTAGTTTTGCAAGAATTTCTGCTTAAAGCTGCAAGCAAGACAGAAAGAGACAGATAAGATAAATGCTGTTTACTGAAGGAAGTCTTGAGAGTAACAGAGATTTCTAAATATGGGAGTTAATTATGTTTCTTCATAATTATAAATAGATTGATAAAGAAAATGAGCAGTTCTAGCTGGATGTTTGTTTGTGTTGTGTGTGTGTGGGGGTCAGGTTGTGCTATCTTTCTGGTGACATCAGCTTAAAGGAGTTGAAAAATTTCAACCCTGTAAAAACTTCTGTTCCATGGAACACAACAGGAGAAATTTTGATTAATATCCATGTTCGTTTTTCATTTACATTTAGTCATTTAGCAGATGCTTTTATCCAAAGCGACCTACAAATGAGGACAATGAAAGCAATCAAAATCAACAAAAGAGCAATAATACGCAAGTGCTATAACAAGTCTCAGTTAGCTTAACGCAGTACACGTAGCAAGATTTTTTTATTTTTTATATAATAAATAAAAAGAAAACAGATAGAATAGAAAAAGAATAGAGCAAGCTAGTGTTAGAGGCCTTTTTTACTTTTGTTAATTGCATAATAAATGAAAAGAAAGCAAATAGATAGAATACAAAAAAATTTGAGAAGCTAGTGTTAGTTTTTTTTTTTTTTTAAGAAAACAAGCAGTTAGTAAATAAATAGAGTGCAAGTCTAGAAGGGGCAAGCTTTTGAAAGCAAATAGATAGAATACAAAAAAATTTGAGAAGCTAGTGTTAGTTTTTTTTTTTTTTTAAGAAAACAAGCAGTTAGTAAATAAATAGAGTGCAAGTCTAAAAGGGGCAAGTTTTTTAAAGAATAGAATTAAGATAGAGAGTGCTAGAGTTAGAGGGTCAAATAATTTTCAGTGCAATTACAAATAACAGGAGCTTTCTGCTTCAAAAAAGGATAAAGTCAAGGCTAAGGAACAAGATTTTTGAGTGAGTTTAACTCGAAAACACTATAATCATGATTCAGGAATTAATCATTCAACATTTGTAAATGATCTGTAACCTGTTCAATTGATGAATTAAAAAGCTTAGACTCAAAAGAGAATGATTCTTTCATGAGTATGATTCTTTCTCTCACTGAAAATGCTGGAAATCAGGGGTTTGCAAACCCTGTACATGTGAAATAGCTTATAGCATCCCCTGAGATTTTATTTTGATAATTCAATAATTTAAGAACATAGTTCTTAAGAGTTCTCTAATTATTGGTTAACTAATTGGTTAATTAATGGTCACATTACATTAGGTAAATAAATGTATAATTATAATTATTATCAAATATATAATAATGAAATTAGTTAGATATTAAAACAATAATTATTAGTATGATTAAATAATAATAATAATAATAATAATAATAATACAGAAACAAGCAGATAAAGTGAACATAAAACAATAATAAAAGATTACATATTTTATTAATTTACTTCAAGTTACAATACTAATAGGCCTACTATTATTTTAAATTCTTTAGTTTCAAAAAACACATTATTTTCCACATACTGTACATTATTGTTTCTCCTCTATGACCTGCCTTTCTGAAACGTGTAGATTTTTACAAAGCTCATCGGTCGGAAATGTTACACCCCTTACCATACTGTGATGCCGTGTCCCAGAGCGATGATTCAAAAGCATATAAACGAGGCATTTGTGGCATCCGGTGGGGACAGAATTACGGATTATAATAACTTATACTGTCTTTTTACGCGTTGCGTTGCATCGCGCCGCGTAAACATAAAACCATGTCTGCATTTGTGATCGGAGAAACGACAAACAACAAGCGCTACTCTACACTGCCCAAAACTCACGTTTGAATCGTCAATGGCAAACTCTTTCAATGAAAACGTACTTACAGTCTGTGAGTCAGAACAGCCGGCATTGTAGTCTACTCTACCAGGATCAGGAAACAGTCCTCCATAAAATGTGCTGCACACATCTGAATATTTGGGTTGAACTGTTCTGGAACAGTGTTGTAAATACAACTTAACCACTGATTTCTAGTTGTGTCCTCTTTTGGAAGGCCAAACAAAGTAGTTTCGCTTTCACAACGAAACACAGCGTCACACACGGTGGGCTAGAGTGAGCGGCGGTGGAGTCGACGAAGGAGCGTCCGGAGGGCTTGCGGCAACCACATGTGATGACCCCGGGCTGGACTCCGCTTCGTCCACCGTGTTAGATAGAACGAGCCGTTTTAGGTAGGCGTGGTTGACTCTTAACTTTAATAAAGAATATCTCTTTGGATTTGAGACTTTAGTCTTTGCAACTTTACAGACCTTCTTTATGCACCAAGTGCTTGTAACACTCCAAAGAGAAAGGAAAAATTTAAATCGCATCATATGACCCCTTTAAGTAGCAATTGGGCAGGTTTTGTTTTGAAAACCTGGCAACCCTGATCTTACTGCACTCTTGCAGGGAGGTTAGATTTAGTGGTACAGTAGGTAGCAAATACAGCAAATATAATTAGCTTAGCAGAAATGAGGCCCATTTGTGAGAGATTGTGTTTGTAGACTTCAAAAGCTTTGAGCTTCTAGTATAGTAAGAAACTGATCATACACACTGAGATTACAGTGACATCTGTGACATACATATGTTGTCTTTCAGCCAAGTTATGTAAGGCTTTTTTGCAGGAAAAAAATGGATGGAAAAAATCCAGACAGATTGGAATGGAGATTACCCTGTTTTTCACAGTATCTCATATATCTCTCACAGCATCTCTCTCATTGTACATCTCAGCGCTCCACACAATTGCCTCAAATGTTGAAACAGAGAAAGATCACACAGATGTCACTCTAAAGGGAAGCGATAGAATTCCCTTACTTTGGCAAAGATCTGGGAATGGAAAATGCAAATAAACACATCAACAGGGCTCTTGGGGTCATGTCACCACATATATGAGCACATGTTTTACAGTCAGTGAAGTAGTGAGGGTTTATTCACTGCTGTTTGCAAAGAGGCCAGTCGTGAATGTATTTTTATGGCCCTTATAGCATCAAATATGTTTCAACTGTTTCTCTTCAATTAGATAATATTGTGCAAAGCACTGATGTCTTGGTCTTTTCAGAGTAAGTCTTTCATGTTGAAGTACTGTTTTATGAAACTGTCTGTAGTTAAGCTACATAACACATTTTTTTTTAAATTGGTTTTTGTATTATTGCAGGAAATGTGGCCAGAAAACATTTATGATTCTTACACATTTTGTCATCATGAAAATCATGTAAAAAAAAAAAAAAAAGTCATGTACTTCATGAAAATCTTCACAAATGAATACAACTTTTATAAAATTTGAAGCCCAAATACTGTTTTATGAAACATAGGCTACGGGATTTTGTTAACATTTTTTATGTTGTAGAATAAAACATGAAAATATCTTAAACTTGTGTTAACCACAGCCCTTATTTCAGATGTTTAACTAAAAACCCATTCACTAAATCCATTGGCTTCAGGACGATGAAACCAAAAATGCCAAAATGCTAATCTAGATCCTGAATGCTAATTGGAACCATGTCCCGACACACTGGATGTTGATCAACACCATGATGAAAGTGTGCTGCTGTCACCTGGATCTGGATGGGCTGGGTGGTGGCTTGGTGGATAAAAAAGAGAGGAAATATTGATTTCATATGCAATATTTATCAGAAACCACATATTATTTCCTTACATCCAAATTAGATTTTTTTTCAGAGTACAGTTTGACTCCTTGAACTGTCAAATGACCCTCTTCCAAACATCTTCACAAGAACATACTTAACCTTATATCGCAAGTAAATAATGAATATAGATAAGATTGCTGATTACTGTAATTATGTCCTCATATCTCAGTGGTATGGATATTTTATATGCTGACACTTTCCCACCCCATGAAAGCGTGAGTTTACGCTCACACCATTGAGTTAGTGACGATGCAGCACTGCCACCTGTAGGACATTACATGTATTACATTATTCAGTGTAATGACAGCAATGACACCAGTAGGTTTTTATGGTTTAAGATGGGTTCTCATTAAATAAAACACTTAATCAATAGAACACACAAAAGGTCGTACATTTAAATATTGTGATTGTGAAATTATGTTTTCTGTCAATTCCAGTTTGAGATCATTTCAGGTAAACGAAAAAAGACGCTTTTAAAAAAACAAATGATCACAAAGACAACAGGCCAAGGTCCACATCACACAATCAACAGAACATAAATGACAAATTGAGTATATATGGCAAACATTATCACATGCAGGCAACTTGAATGTTAATAATAATGGCACTGCAAAATGATTATTAGTAAAAAAGAGACAGCTAAAGAAAGGTACTACTGTTGTCAACAGCAGTTTTCTCCTTCTCAGTCAGGTTCCTTGGCCAGTGCTTCCCTGGAACTACAGCCCATTGCTCTACACTGTAGCAGACAGGTGCATTTTGGAGCTGTTTACACCTGGTATTAACATTCATCTTGGTTAATTTAGTCACAAGTGGTCACCCACAAGAAAAGGTTGAGAACATTGTTGCTTCCAAATAAGCTTCAAATTTTAATCTCACCACAAGTGTGACATTTTGAGGCATATTCATTTATGAACTGAACTTCAAAACTGCAACTGAGTTTCCATGAAGTCTTGTGTATGTAATTACAGGATTTTCCAAATATTTTGATTCGGTAATTTTTTTTTAAAGGCATAAATAATTGGATATGTTGTTTGAGACCATTGCTTTAGCACAAAGAATGACTGACAGGTGAGTAGGTGGTCTTTCGTGGTCCGAATTGTGTTTCTGTCCACCTTATTTGGTTTCAGTGATTCGATCACAGAATGTTTTGGACCCCATTTACACTAGGGCTGCACGGTAAGATTTACCGCTTCTGTGTGTTTACAGAACCGGCTTTCTGACAAGATGCGCATTAAATATCGCATGCGATTTATCGTGCAGCCCTAATTTACACCGGATTTTATTACTGTCTCCTTGTGAAGGGATCACCTGAAACTGATGTTGATACCAGGAGCTTTTGTGTCAGAGTTCATGTAGAGGTGACGACTCTAATGCCAAAGTACAATCGGAGCTGCTCCAAAAAGATGAAAGTAAGTACAGTGTGAGGAATCAGGCGGATTCCAGCTGGGACAAGGCCCTGCGGAGACAAAACACACATTTACTACCAGAGTTTAACGCACACTCAGAATGTATAACACTCTTTATTGCCATAAAAAATGTTTTTCACCTTGTAGAAAGCTTTAGGTCCGAGTTTTCCAGTATCAGACAGACAATGAATCACCCCCTACCACAGAAATTAGTGTGTCACAACTGAATATACTGTACACTACCCTTCAAACATTTTATGTTTTTTTTTTTAGATTTTTGAAAATGTTTTTTAAAAAAGTCTCTTATGCTCACCAAGTCTACATTTATTTGATCAAAAATACAGTAAAAACAAGTATACTGTAAAATATTATTACGATTTAAAATGACTGTTTTCCTATTTTAATATATTCTGAAATGTAATGTATTACTATGATGCAAAGCTGAATTTTCAGCATCATTATTCCAGTCTTCAGCATCACATGATACCTTAGAAATCATTCTAACATACTGATTTGCTGCTCAAGAAACATTCCTTATTATTATCAATGACAACAGTTGTGCTGCTTAATATATTTGTAGAAACATGCATTTTTCAGGATACTTTGATGAATATAATTTTCAACAGAAAAGTATTTTCTAAATTATATTAATATTTTGTAACTTGATTAATGTCTCTACTGTCATTTTTGATCAAATCTGTTCTTGCTGAATGAAGACAATATTCAAAAAAATTCTAAGAAATCAAACTTTTGAACAGTAGTGTATGGTGAATTAAATAATTAAAGGAAATTCAAGATGCAATGTAGATGTAAGATAAATAATAAAAAAAGACAATTACAAAATTGAAAATTCAAGCAGAATCGTACCCTGTATTCCCCCTTTGAATTCATCAGTCTGGTTTTCACAACATCCATAGGCTGACAGAGAACAGTAGCACAACCTCCCTGTGAAGAAAACATAAAATGCACGGCCCGCCACTGCTGTAGTTACATTGTGTACTAAGACGACAGAAAATTAAATGTTGCGATTTTCTAGGCCGATACGGCTAGGAACTATACTCTTATTCCGGCGTAATAATCAAGGAACTTTGCCATGGGTGCAGCAGGCGTAATATCACTGCGCCTGCTGGAAAATGAGCCTATTTTCAAAAATAGTGGAGTGTTCCTTAAAGGCAGGAGCTCTTACAAACAGAGCTCTATGAATAATTCAAATAACCCCAACCCTTGTCTGTTCTCTCTTTCCTGATGGATGAGTAAGTAGCACAGGCCCACATTCTGTCACTACACATTTCCAGATTGCTGTGGGAAGGTTTTAATCTGTGACTTTAAGTGCAGAAATTGGCATGCATACCTCTTCAGCAACAAAACAATGCTGCAATTAATTCTATACTGTATTCTGTGACAGTATCTTTTCAGGCAGTTCATCTGATTTCTTATAGTACTATGCCAAAATGTGTCAAATTTTTTTGTAAACGGATTTTCTTATTCTCACCTTCTTTCCAGACACGTGCCAATCCATCAAGAGCATGTGCATAGCTGCAAAACACCATATGTTGTCATGACAGATTATTTTGTTTTAGTTTGGTGTGTACTTCATATTTTTTGAGACTCACTTTCTTCTTAATTCAGGTGGCAACTTCACATCATTCTGCATTCTGTTATAAAACACAGGGTAGAGGAAAAGGCACACAATTACTTGTGTCTCAAAATCTCCTTGTGTAGGGCAAGGAGAGCATGGATCTAATTGTGAAGTAAATTTATTAAATGAAAAACAAAATCAAAACACTCTGCAACTCAGGAGCACAGGATAAACAGAGGAGCAAAGCAAACCAACGGAGGAAATGACCACGGCAGAGGAAAAGACCACATGGAGACCCCCAATGGAGGAGGCAGCAGGTGAAGAGACCATGGTGGAACCAGTGGAGGAGATGACCATGGTAGTGCCATAGGGATGGAGATCCAAGGAGGAGATGGCTGGACAATTGACCATGGAGGAGCCAGTGGATTAGAAGACTTAGGAGGAGCCAGAGGAGGTGAAAACCTAAGTGGAGCCAGTGAATGGTGGACCAGGGCGCCGTCACAGGCTTGGAGGACCAAGGTGGAGCCAGGGGGATAAGCCCCAGTGAAGCAAGGTAAGGCAACAGACCAAGTTGGAGACTGAGAGATGAGAAGCCTGGTGGAATAAGAGGGATGACAAACCATTGTGAAGGTTGAACGTCGCTGGTTGGGTGGACCTGGGTTGCCATGAGACTGAGGTTGCACCAGTAGAGCTGCAGGGCTGAGAAGGATTCTGGCAGAATATCTAAAGGCAGGGCAAGGGCACTGGATGGGTGGAGTGAAGGAGGATGGGTTTTGGGGGTGGGCTTAAGAGTGGGGATTACTTCCAGGACACTCAGATCAATAAGAGTTGGCTCTAGAACAGACTGGGCAACTGGCACTGGCTCAAGGTTGGAGGGTCTGTTCTTGACATTTGAAGCATAGATCTGTTTGCAAAGCAGTAAATTTAACAAACAAAAACCACTCTGGAAATTGGGAGCACAATATAAACTGAGGAGAAAAGTTTATAACCAACATTATATTGATGAGAACAGTGCCAAGAGCCGAAGCAGACAGGAATTTATACATAGGCTAAATAAGGCAGGAAACAAGGAACAGGTGGGACCGATCAATTAACAAATCAATAACCATATGAACAAATGAAACCAACACTAAACACAGGCACTCTCAGAAATAAACGTACAAATGCTGTCACTGGTGTGCTATCTTTTCAAAAGATACAACTTTGTACCTAAATGGTCCATATTGGTACCTTAAAAGTAACATATTAAAAAGTACAAAAGTGTACCTTGTGAAAAGGTACTGCGCCAGTGACAACTTTTGTACCTTTATTTCTGAGAGTGGGGGATGAAACTGAACTGAAACATGAAACAAGACATGACACATAGCAGTCTTTTATTTACATAAAAAAAGATTACCCAAACAGATCTACAGTTGCTTCACCATGAAAAACACTCACAACTCTGTTTTATGAGAAATTATTAATAAAAAAAACTCTGCTGCTGTTTTATGAGACTCCCTTGTGTAAATCAGTGTCACTCACCTGACATTAACCATGTCCGCTGGTGTCCCAATAAACCCACCAGTAAGACCTACAGATTAAGAAATGAAAGGAACAGGTTTTTCTTTCTTCTGTTTTGTTGTATGAAAACAGAGCCACTCAGACATTTTAAATCTCATTTTGTGTTTTATAGAAAGAAATTATAACACAGGATAAAAATTACGTGTTTGGATAAATGATGACAGAATTTTAATTTTGGGGTGAACTGTCCTTTTAAAACAGAGGTCCTCAACAAGGGGACCTCAGAAAACTTCCAAGGGGGCCTTAATATTACTTTAAATGATTTAAAATTATTTTTTATAAAGAATTTTTTTTCTAGCTATCTCAAGCTCTAAAATATTTTATTAAATAAACTGTGAAATTGTGAGTAAAAAAATAAAAATAAAAAATCCTTATTCTGTAAATCACAAATTTGGAAAAATCATTTAAATGATAGAGTGAGATACCTGAAGAACATTCTGCTATTAAAACTATATAATAAAATTGTGGACAGTGGGAGTCTGGAGTCAAAACGTTTGACAATCACTGTTTTAAAAGATGCCAAACAGAGAGATCCATCTTCATTATATGCTTCAGGCAAATTAACAGTTACAGGATTATGTTGTTACCTCCAAAAGCAGCCAGCAAGATCTTCTGGTAGAAGGGCATGGGCCCCTGGTTTTGACTAGATATCTTGTCTCTCACAGTTTCATAAATGGCAAAGCGGGTCATTGAGTAAGTCATCTAGAAGAGTGAACATGGCACCACACTGTCAAAAGAATCTTTACCATTTAGGACGCCTTGTTGTAAGACCTTAAAGTGAGCACAAAAGCATAAATAAGCCAAATCCTCTGCAGAGGCACTAACCTGCCTGCAGAGTGAAGCACTGAGCCCATTGTAGAGTGCTAGCACCCCATCACTGCGCACCACCTGCATAGCCATGCCAGTCATCCTCATCTTCACCTCCTGCTGGGTTTGCAGATGAACCTGAAGGTGGAGGAAAGAACTAAGGCAAAACCAGTATAGACTATACTAGACTACTATACTATCTATACTACACTTCTGTATCTACTGTATTAAGGTATACTGGAACTACTATACAATACTACACTCCTCAATTAAAGGTTCAAAAATGTTTTTTTTTTTTTTTTTTGCAGCGATGCCATAGAATAACCATTTTTGGTTCCACAAAGAACCTTGCAGTGAACAGTTCCTAAAATATCCTTTTTTTTTTCTTTTTTCTTAGTGTGAAGAACATTTTAATAGTCCAAAAAATATTCCACAGATATTAAAGGTTCTGCATGGAACCATGGATGACTATAAAGAACCTTTTTCTTAGCTCAGTTAGATTTGTCAATATAATATAATTAAATAATTTTAAGTTATCCTGCAGTGTGCTGAGCCCCCTGGTTGAGAACCACTGAGTGATTCTATAATTGCAGGTACATTTGGTGTCATTATTTTTTTTCTGCTATTTTCAAATGGTTATATTTTTAATTATTTTAATACTGTGTTACTCATTGTTATGAATTACAAGATGTTACAGTCTATAACAATATAATATTTTTTGCAAAAAAGTGTCTTAAATAGCTGAAAATCATGATTTCTTGTTGTCCAAATTAGTCAGTGCATTTTTTCCATCATGTATCGTGTAATCAAAATATTTTATTGTACTTTTCTTTTGGTAATATTTCATTCATTTTATTTATAAAAGCCCTAAAGAGTCATTTACCTAATTCTACAACATTATTAAAAAAGAAAAAAAAAATGTTTCTTATAAAAATGTGTGTCCGTAAATCTTGCGTCAACTCTGTTACCGTACCATACTTTGCCTTTAAATTAGTGGAATTATCTCCCACAACTATGTAAGATACAGGAAATGATGTCACTTTCCCTCACTGTTAAGATCTGAAGCACTGAAAAGTCGATCTGCTATCTCTAAGAAAATATTTTAATATAAAAAGTTCTTACACCAAGGGTTATTTTATAAAGTGTCAAATCTGTTACCACTATATCAAAAGGAAAACATATTTTTTCATTGATCACACTTTGTGTTATTTAAAAGTATTTTAATCATGATTTCATTAGTGCCATGTGCTCTTAGCATTTATGCTAGCAGGTGGAGTTTTTGGCAAAAAATAAAGAAAATGGTCAATTCTGTTACTGTCAAACTCTGTTACCAAGGTAGAGTAACAATGCTGACAATGCGGTAACAGAATTGACAGTCCATCGGACAATTCTGTCAATTCTGTTACTTTACAATGCTGTTACTTAAAGGGTCAACTCTGTTTATGAACTATTTTCACAAAAAACAATAAAATTGTTGTTTAAAATCTAATAAACATTATTGATTTATTTTTGCACACTTATAATATTTCAACAACATTTCTTTTTTTAAATATATATTGTATATAATAAATTTTCAGATGAAAAATATTTGCTCCAAGTGGACAGTTCTGTGAAGACATAGGTATTTTTTAAATTTTTAATGTATGCATAGGTGAAATATTATCTCAGTTTCAAATGTTGGATGGAATGTAAGGACGGTTTGTCTAATAAAACAAGAAGGATTTTTCCTGTTATGATTTATTGTTATTTCTACACATTGGCTAATTTGTCCGTAACAGAGTTGACAAACAATACCACAAAGACATCTGTTTTTTCATTAAAAGTAAAAAAAAGGAAGTAACTTGTGTTTGGCAAGCACTGAATTATTACATCTGTTTTTTCATTAAAAGTAAAAAAAGGAAGTAACTTCTGTTTGGCAAGCACTGAATTATTAAAATTAAATATGTTTTCAATAATATACTGAACAAAAAAAAATCTGTTAGTTAAAAGTTTTTTTCTTAACTTTCTGCAATGCTAAATGTATCTCCAATTATAGAATCACCCCGCTGTACAATACTGTACCTTACTATACCAAAACAGAATTAGAAAAATTATGATGTTATGTTATGTTATGTTATTATGTTCAATAAATGTTTACATTTGCAGTATACTATACTCCATACTATACTATACTATAGTATAATATTTGCTACTACACTGGTTCTCAACAAGGGGGCCAGAAGATGACTCAAAATTATTTAAAATATGACAAAACAATCAATAAAACATAACATATTCACCCATCAATAACTGTCTTGAAAAACCTGCATACATGAGGTAGCCTCATGTTAAAAGTGTTATTTCTAGACCTGGAAAAGTCATGTATAAAAAAACGGGGGATTTTTAATGAAAATACATTTTACACAATACAAATGTTCTGGAAATTGTGGGGGTCAAAAAGTTTGAACCACTGCTAGCTATACTTTACTAGTCTATACTATACTGTGCTATAATATACTTTACTAAAACACATTTACTGTATAGCTGTTACACTTTAAAGGCTAATACATTAAGGTTGCCGGTAGATTCCTAGCTCGTACCTTTATTAAGTCCAGTGGATGAGTGCAACAGGCGGCCGCGCACGAGGCAATTCCTCCGAAGTACCAGCGCGAAATGCGCGTCTCTGTCATGATTGAATCTCGGTTTATTCCGTGACGACACGATGAAGGAATAAAGTGGAATAACGCGACTCACACGCGACATTAACCGCTCGGTTCTGTGATAAAGTCCCAGTGATAATCCTAGATCTAGCTACACTGCAGTTGATTGGTTTAGTGCTGCCGGAAGACCTGCACTGTCAAATAGTTCCTTTCATCCGCTATACATGGGATTACAAACGCGCAGATAGGCTAGTACAGAAAGTTACTAATTTGTAAGCATAGAAATAAGGTTTACAGATAGGCCTATAGCGGGGAAACGCGTGGGTTAAGGAGAAGTGAGCCGCTCGGTATTAGCGCGTCATGCTGCCAACTCGGACACTCAGGAGGCCTTACAAGACCGAGCATCTGTCAGAAGAATGTATCATGTGCCAAGGCAACATTGTTGCTTTAAGGGGACATGCAGTTGGCATAACTCACACAGCACGGTTTGTGTTCATCCTGAAATTCCCTTTTATTTGTATTTTTATTGTTCAAGTTTATGATGGCTTTTGAATGAATCAAAGCATTATTATTGAGCCCTATCTAGCCTGTCAGTTCTTGAAACCAATGAACAAGCTTTAGTGCTGAGAAAGTTTCACAAGGATCTCATCCTTCAGCTGCTTTCAGTGAGAAGTGTGTAGGCCTACGTGACGCATATAAATAGAATCAAGAAATGTTTGACCTCTGTAGGGTTTGTCAAAGGCGGTGCGTCAATAAAGTCCACCTTGTGGTTGCTTCTAGACTTCTATTAATTTTTGAGACCTATTCAGTTTGTTTTTCAAACATCTAGTCATGATTGTGACCACTGTTGAAGTGTGCAAAAGGCACATCAAGTCAAGTCAGTTATTTGTATAACGCTTTTCGCAGCTTTAGAGAAAATTATTGTTTATAATTCTAAATATATTTCCAAGATGCCGAAGCAAACTTGCATCTATGACCAGTGACAGACGTCTGAACCCATGATGCCTGTTCTCCAGTCTCTTTAGGTCATACATTGGTTCAGGCACGTGCACACATAGACATCAAAGTGGGCTTGAGCACCTGCCCTTTTTCTTCCTCGAGAGAAATTGCCCTTTTTTCTGGGGAGTATTTCTTTTTTAATGAATATATGTATATATGTGCGCGTGTGTGTGTGTTTCTGTTTGCGCACAGCTTTCCCTGTCAAACAAATACAAAATCAAAATATCAGGTCGGGTCGGGAAATGTTGAGACTTTCTCCTCTCTGCGTCTCCACGCAGCACAGCAGTGTAGCACACATTGATCAGCACATGCACAGTCACAGACAGACAGAGAGCTACAGAAGTGAAGACCTCCCTCCCTTTCCAGTTGTGCTTGTCTTGGTGTGGAGGTGAGTGGTGATGAACAAAAGACTAAGCTACCTGTGCCTTGAATTTACAGCTAATTACCCAAAAGACAAAAGCTAAATATAGTTAATTTGTCTTGCTAACATCCATGACTCCGCTGTAAGTTAGCTAAAGTTTAGCTAAGGCAATAGGAAGTCTAGTAGGTTACACCAGAGTGCGTTCTTTCACTGCATGATTCAGTTTATTAAAATGCATTTAGAATGATCACAAAATTCAAGATATGGGGGCAGAAATGTATATATTTATATAATTTCATATAGTTAATCAGTATCACACAAAGACTTTATACAGCAGTTCAATAAACAAGAATGTGACACAATTGACTGCTTTTTCTCTATTTCGCCAACAACTATAATTCCAATTTGCATCTCTGAGCAACATGACGGTGTTTTGTTCCTGAATGAATCAACCGTTTAAATTATTTGGTTCAATAGCAATGACTCACTTATTAACAGTGACTTGCTGCCACCTACTGGCGGTTTTAATTTCACATTTAAAATATATTTTTATAAAAAAAAAATCAAATATCAGTACTCAACATTTTATGTTTAAAATATCAAAACAGCATTAATGCATTTGTACCTGCAGGTTAAAACATCCATGTCCTGCATTAAACAGTGTGTAAATGCATCTAAATGCCACTTCTAATGCAGCTTCTGTGTTTCCTCTGCATTGCAAAGATGAATTTTGTCAGTACTGATTTCATTTGCTTGGTAACAGCCCAAATGACTTATAATATTAATTGACTGATTCAAGTTAAGAATTTGACTGAAAAGATGATGCACACTTTTTGAAAAAAATGTCTTTATAAAGGTAAATACTGTGAACTGATCACCACACAGAATATGCAGAATATGCAAAAACTTTAGAAGTCAGCTGTCTACGGTAGTCCTTATCAACCTTATCCTTCTCAGATATCAGCACATTAACACACTCAGCAAAATGTTGTCTAATTATCGTTATCGATAAAATCCCAGAAAATATCGAGATTTATTTTTGTCAATATCGCACAGCCCTAATATATTTAACGTTTTGTTTAGGAAAACATTAAAATAAATATGAGAAGTGCCCTTTTTTCCACTTGAGCCCCTGCCCCTCAAAATGTCTGTGCACGTTCCTGCATTGGTTGGTGAAGGTCAATTTTGTGTCCACTGTGTATGTTGGGCTGTCAGCGTCATATTTACACGTTATAGCTCAAATTAATGAATGAATGGGTGCAGGGCTTGACATTAACACCTGCCAACCCGCCAAATGCGGGTGGATTTCAGCTGTGGCAGGTAACACTGTCACTCCCACTAGCCACTTTGGCGGGTTGAATTTTATAGCCTACTACAGTAACAGAGCTCGACACAGGCCCGGACTGGCCATCGGGAGCACCGGGAGAATTCCCGGTAAGTTGAGTATTAAACTGCTAGTATCTGTTAGGCCAGTGGTTCCCAACCCTGGTCTTGGAGGCACCCCAACACTGCACATTTTGCATGTCTCTTTTCTCTGACACATCAATTTCAGGTCTTGGAGTCTCTACTAATGAGCTGATGACCTGAATCAGGTGTGTTTGATTAAGGAGACATGCAAAACGTGCAGTGTTGGGGTGCCTCCAGGACCAGGGTTGGGAACCACTGTGTTAGGCTATCAGTAGCACCCCATTATTATCATCATTCAGAATACTGTGCTATAGGACAGGGTTCCTCAAATCTTGCCCTGGAGGGCCAATGCGATGAGTTTAGTTCCAACCCTGATCAAACTCCCCTACCTGTGATTTTCTAATGATCCTGAAGACATTGATTAGCATGCTGAGGTGTGTTTGATTAGGGTTAGAGCTAAACTCTGCAGGAAAGTGGATCTCGTGGGCCAGATTTGAGGATCCCTGCTATAGGACATCGATATCGATGGTAAAGTTACATAAAAAAATTTAGCAGAGGCAGATATTCACATGGATTTATTGTACAGGGAGGGAGGGAGCTAGAGACAGCAACACAAAAATAATATGAGTCACAGCCTAACAATTTCAATAGTGTGTTCAGTATTACAGTTTTTCTACAAATATATTGTATTAATTTTGACATTTAGGCACTTTAGAAATTGTGTTTTAATATACCAGTCAAAAGGTTTTGATCAGTAAGATTTTGTAATGTTTTTTAAAGAAGTCTCTTCTGCTCACCAAGCCTGCATTTATTTGATCCAAAATACAGCAAAAACAACAATATTGTGAAATATTTTTATTATTTAAAATGACTGCTTTCTATTTGAATATATTTTAAACTGTAATGTATTCCTGTGATTTCAAAGCTGAATTTTCAGCATCATTAATCTGAGTTTTGCACGTTAATCCTTAAGAAATCATTCTAATATTCTGATTTACTGCTCAAAAAACATTTATGTTGAAAACAGATTAGATTTTTTTTTTTTCAGGTTTCTTTGATGAATAGAAAGTTCAGAATAGCAGCATTTATCTGAAATAGAAATCTTTTGTAACATTATAAATGTCTTTATCATCACTTTTGATCAATTTAAAGCATCCTTGCTAAATAAAAGTAATAATTTCTAAAGATATATAAAACATATATTCCAGTCAAAAGCAGTTATTTTAAATAGTAAAAATATTTCACAATATTACTGCCCTTGCTGCACCCTGGATCAAATAAATGCAGGCTTGGTGAGCAGAAGGGACTTCTTTAAAAAACATAAAAAAATCTTACTGTTCAAAAACTTGACTGGCAGTGTATATTTGTATGTAATATTTGTTAAATCTAGGGTATTTAAGTCATTTTAAGATAAATAACATGCTGTGCTAACAAATTGAAATGAGGTGGATGTTTTCAACAAGGTGGACAGTTCTGTTCATAACAGTATGGGTTTTTGTTAAATGTGAGCCAAAATCATCACAATTAAAAGAACCAAAGACTTAAACTACTTCAGTCTGTGTGCATTGAATTTATTTAATACACGAGTTTCACAATTTGAGTTGAATTACTGAAATAAATGAAACTTTTCCACGACATTCTAATTTATTGAGATGCACCTGTAGACCTGCTGGTGAAGAAGTGACAGGTAAGAAAAAGAAGGGAGAGACAGAGATATTGGGGAAAATGAAGAAAAGGGAAGTGAATTGGTGCAGTTAAAGAGAGAACCTTTACTTATTTTCCATGGCCTTAGACTAAGCGTTTAGACCTTTTTATGTGATGGCCATACAAATAATAGGGTTGTCTGTGGTTTCAGAAATTGCTGTGGATGCATAGGCTATATACAGGAAAAAGGGGCCAAAATTGTACCTTTTGGGGTACAACAGCTTGACATAGTAGCAGTACTCTTAAAAGGACATATTTGTTCCTTTTTTACCCCTAATAGGTAGGCCTACAAATTAGTACTTTAAGGGTACAAATTACTACTCTAAGGTACTAATAGGTGCATATTAGGGGTACAAAAGGTACAAAGATGTCCTTTTAAGAGTACTGCTACAGTGTCAAGCTGTTGTACCCCAAAAGGTACAATTTTGGCCCCTTTTTTTCTGTGTGGCCTGGATGAGTGTGAGATTTCCCCGGCCTGAAATTGCGTCCCAGTCCGGCCCTGGGACCCACACAGGCTTTCCTCTTCACCAACGACATTAAACACAGTGTCTACACCGGACACGAGCGTCAAAATACAGTAGAACCATTATAATCAGTGACGCTGTCTAGATGCGGCGCGGCGCGACCATAGACTGTATAGGGCGCGACACGACAAAACCCGACATCTCCCGGCCTGAAAATTTTACACAGAGTAGCAGTGCTCGACATTAATGCTTGTCTGGGACAAGTGGATTTTTTGAAGGGGCGAATAAAGTGAAAGAAGAGATTTTTACTTGCCCGACCGGACAACTAATCTGATTAAAACATCTAATTAGGGAAGCACCGACATTTGAATGATTTTGATTTTATTACATTCGGGGTAAATGGCAATTGATAATGGATAATTAACAGTAACAAGATCACACCAGTTGAGGCTCACACAGCCTGTCTGCGAGAGAAACTCGTGGAGAAATTAAAACAAATGAACACAACTGCACACAGAAGAAATATACAAATGTAACTTAGTTTTTATATTTATAACACACAGCATATGTTGAGCAACATGACCAAGAGAGTGACGTTTTCCCCGAGTAGTTAACATACATTTTAGTTCAATATTTGAATTTATTTAAAGGATATATTGTCAGTGTTGACTGTTTTTGCTCCATTTGGTGAATGAAAATAGTTCCAAACGCAATTTACTGCTAAATCGGTCAACTCCAACCAAATTTGCAGCCTGGCTCTGACTTTCTGCAACTATTTATCGACTTCTCCAGACTAGATTGGGGCAAAAAAAAATAGTGTAGCCTATATGTAGTGTATATTCTAGTCATTAGATTACAGAATTGTCACTAAGAATCTAAATTACGATGTAGATAATGTTTTTCATAATCTTAACATACTTTTAGGTCAGTC